TCCTGTTTGGCCTTTGTTGTTTTCTTCAGTTTGGGGGTTTGGTGCTGCAGGAAGATGGATTTCAGGAATGGGGCTCTGTTTCCATGTTGAGGAGGTTGTGTATCAGCACTGACTCTCAGGAGGTTCCCCTTCACAATCCAGAGAGCAAGAAACCTTCCTCAGCTCTGTCCTGTCTCCTTACTTGCTTCTATTTTTCCACATGCGGGTGACAGGAACCCCCCGTTTCAGAAATGCCAGAGGAAATTTGATTCATGGCATTTCCCCAGAGCTTTGACCTCAATAAACAAAGGCACGGCACAACTCAAAGGCCCGGGACATTTGAGGATGCTGTTGGTAACTGATGCCTTAATAATTCTGATGCCATCTTATCACTCCCAGCTAAAATCACACCACTCCTGTTGTGCCAGCAGAGCACCATTAACTCCAACAGACCAGATAAGCCAGAAAAGAGGTTTTTCCATGCATGCTTTTCTCTGTCACAACTGCCGAAGCTGCTCAGGGACTGCTGCACCAGGGACTGCTCACAGTGGGCTGCCAGGACCCCTGCTCATTTCAGGCAATGTGAGATTTAATAAAATAAACACAAGAATTTCAGCTTGGTTTAGAAATTTAAGTCCCAGGTCATTATGCAGCTGCCAAACTCAAAGCAATTACTTAATGTCAAGAGTTATTGCTTTAATGAATCAGATACAATAAATTGGATAAGGCCCTGAAGAATGTTCTTTTGAGCCCACATTGGCAGATGGCTGGGATGGCTCGACAGAGGAGTAGGCTTGCTAACAGTCCTTTGGGCAAAAAAAAAAGCAACCAACAAACAAACAATTAAAAACAACTTAGAATAAACCCACTGCTAAGCTACATTTATAGCCTCAGCCCCTGTGGGTTAGGAGGTGTTGCTGAGGAACTGTGGTTTCACAAGTGAGGAATCACTCCATGATTTGATGAAGGGAGTAAACAGCAGGACTCATCTCTTTGCAATGACTTTGCTTCTATTTTTCCAGGTGTAAAAATGAGATATTCTCTTCTGCTGTTAGAAATGTGCGGCTTATGAGGTTTCAGCTCTGTTGTAATTATAGCACTGGTTCTAAAGAGCAAAGATCTCATATGCAAATACCTGTCCTTGGCAATGCTGCTTCACTTGAGATACCACAGCTTCAGCAGGGCCGGGGTGTGCAGCTCCTAGGGAGAGAGGAAGCTGGTTTGCTTTTCAGCAGACTGTGAATCTTTTCTCTCTCTTTCATCCTTCCTCTGTGCAATGCATTTATCTGGTGTTCGGATGGGGGCAGGTTCTCATTGCACCTGGGCTAACTGGGACCTTTGCTGAGAAACACAAAGTGCTCTTCTATTCATAATAGATGGCATTCATGTCTATAATATCTTCTTAAGAATTTATCTTTCAGGGTGAAAGAACAATACTTCCACTGTGCCTAAGCAGGATACTAATGCATAAGCATGCCCCAAAACAAACATGATGCTTAAAACTTAATACTATTATGCCAATATTGAAGTTAAATTGCCATAAAGAAAATTAAATCAACCCCAAAATACATATTAGGTGAAATTATAGATGAAGTGACTGTTGTGCTGCTGCAGGGTTTAGATTTCTGTAAAGTTACTCTATATAGCTGGAGTTCTGCATGGCTCTGTTGATTGTTTTGCAGTTATGGATGTCAAACTGCTTTAGGAAGGTGAGCAAGAATGATTATTCAATTTAGCAAAGTGAATAACAAAACACAAAAGGGTCATTTGTCAAGCATCAAATCAGTGGCAGAACATGAACTTCAATCTAGTGTTTGCATTATGGGCATAACCCTACTAAGAGTCTTACTAGGTAGTATTTCTGTAGTATTGTCACTCCACTAAGGGCCTACAAGTGAGTCCCAAACACTTTAGGAGGTAAAGTCAGGTTTCATCAGGGATAGTCTTGTATTCCCATACAGGGATCATTGGGAATGCACAACTTGGTTTTCTATTGCTTGAAACCAGCCTTACTTTCAAGAACAATTTAATGCAAATCACAGCCAGAATAAAACAACTGTGTCTATACTGACAACTACGGCACTGGGTTTGTGGCCAAGTTTTGGTAGCAGAGGGCTACAGGACAGGGGTGGCATCTGTGAGAAGCTGCCAGAAGCTTCCCCCACATCCAGTGGAGCCAATGCCAGCAGCTCCAACATGGACCTGCCACTGGTCAAGGCCAAGCCCATCAGTGATGGTGGCAGCACCTCTGGGACAATGAATTTAAGAAGGGGGGGAAAACAGCACAACAGCAATTACAGCCAGAGAGAGGAGAGAGAAGACAACCCACAAGCATTTCAGTGTATTTTCTCTTCCCTGGCCAGCTGAGGAGGGCAGTGATGGAGCTGTTTTGGTGGACACCTGGCATCCAACCAGTCACCCCACCACAACTGTGTGTCAGTTTGCCCCTTTGAAGGCAATATCCCATTGGCCCACATTTATGTTATTTACTGTTTTCCCATTTTTCAAATGGAATGAAATTTTCATGCTTTGTTAAGTCCTTCCCAGAGCTGCAAATTAACATCTTTAGCAATAAAGGCAGTCTTAGTGCTTATATGACACTTTTATCTTGTTCCTCACCCAAACTAACAGAACACCCTCAAAAGCCATCAGTGACTGCATCTGGGCTCCCCAGTGCCATGCAGACATCTTTGCTCTGGTCAGCATTGTTCAGTTATTTTTCAAGTGATGGGTCTGATTCTGCTTAAGCCATTAAAATGTGTTCAGCTTATTAGGCAAATTCTCCTTTTCAGATCGGACTCTCAGTGAGACTGAGAGAGCAGCACAAAGGTTCAGGAGACTGAAGGACTTTAGTTGTGCAGCTCTCGAGAAAGGTTTATCAGAAGACACAACTCTTCCTCCTTCTGAACCAACATTTCCTGTGATTTCAGCAATGATTTTCAAGATACCATGAGGCGCACAATTTAATGTGCAGCAAGCACATCGGGCAGAGCTGATACTTCTCCCTGCCTTGATTCCTCTTTGAAATTCCCTTATTTGTAGTATCCTCACTTATAATTCTCATAATTTGTATTTTTATTCTTCTGCCCTACAAGCACCATTTAAAATGATTCTCCCATCAGTAATGTTACTCAAACCACAGTCTGAGGATCTCTAGCTGACAGCAGAGAGCAACAACATAGATTGATGTCTCTATAAGCAGGCAAAAAAATTGACACACAACTCAGCAGAGTTCCCAGTTTGGAAGAAGTCCCCCGCACCAACTATTTGTGCATTCATGTGAAGAGGAAAGGAAGCAGTCAATGCTGCTATTCAAAAAAATAAACAGACATGTGATTTAATTTTGAAGAAAGTTCCCAGACTTTTGCATTCATACTCTGTATCGTACACTGTGAAATTCGTGAAGAGAATGCAATTTACCCCTGCAGACTAAAAGACAAGAAGTTATTGCTCTTTGTCTCCCTACAAGGCAGAAGACTTGTGTGAAAGCTTTCAGCATTGAATACAAAAGAAAGGGGGCATTTAAGTGGGAACTTCCAGTGCCCGTGGGAGATTACATAGTCTCATAGGAACATCCCTGTCCTGTTTTCTCCACCAACTGCATATATCACCAGTTAAAATCTTCCATCCCCAATGTCTCATTTCTTGTCCCAGTTTCTTTTTCTCCAGCCACCCTGTTTCTTTGCAGACCCCCAGTCTGTCACCCATCTCCTTCCCTCCCCAGCTGCCATCCCATCTCTTTGCCCAGCCAAGACACATTTCCCCTCTTTCAGATCTCCCACTTCCTCCCAGTGATACCTTCACACATTTACTCCAGATTTAAATCACAGTTTCTGCCTACCCTGAGGGCTGTTTGAGCTCTATCTTCAATAGGGTGCAGTTTTCATCCTTTCTGCTTTCAAATCAAGGGTTTTCCTTCTCCCCACTGAGGAAGATAAAACCAAACAAGCTGCTCAGCTCCCTACAGACAGCACCTCGGAAGTGTAAGGGAGGGGAAATCCTGCTCCCATTTAGGGTGGAAAATGCCCGAGAGGGATGAAACCCGTGGAAATTTAACTGTTGCATTGCTGTGCATATACCAGGTACAGATTTTCAAAGAATACTTTTTAGTCTGATTGTCACAAGAGCAGCACATGGCCTATCTCTGACATACATGAAAACCAGCAGCCACACGCAGCGAGATAATTTTTCCAAGCTTTGTCACTTCTCATGCAGGGCTTTACTAGACAGGCAGAAGCAACCAGATGTTTTGAGAAGGAATCCAAAAGCCATTTTATGAGGGAGAAAAGCAGGCCAACTACCCCACGTCTCAGCAGGACAGCCTTGCTCTCCAAGCCTGCCCCACGCAAGATACTGTTGCCAGGTTTAATAATTTCGCTGCAAAGTTTGCATTTGTTTCTTTTAGAAAAAGTTTGGAGTTCTCAGATTGAAAATGAGCCCCCTTGTTACATGAATACCCCAGGAGAAATAAGGATAATTCATATTTTAAAATATAGATTCTAAGAATGTGTCATCAGTTTGGAACAAAGTCTGAAACCCTGTCAGTCCCAGGGTGGTTTTATCAGCAGAATTGAAGGAGTTTAATTCTGCAGCTGGGGCTCCTGAATGAATTATGTTACTCTAATGAGTCATCCACTAATTCTGAGTCCTCCCTTTCTTCATCTCTGCCATATTTGGATAGGTAATGGAAGAATTCAAGGGGGAACTGGACAATCTCTCTTGTTCAATATCCTTGTTTTGATTTTCACATGTTCCTCTTTCCAGATGCTAACTCATGACACTGGTTACCAGCAGCAGCGGTGGTGCAAACAGAAGCTGGAAGAGCAATGTCATTCTGACTTGGCTTTAGGGGGAAGAAAAAAGCCTGGACTGGGGATTAAGTCATTCCCTCTGGTTCTTCATCAAAAGAATCGTCTTCATGATTTCCATGCTGGCGACTGAGCTTGGTAATAAAGGCAGATGTTCCTGGGTCCAGAGAGTGTGTGTGGGTCACAACTGGCTCTGCAGGGACAAATGGACAATCTTCCCTGGTCTGGGGAGGTATTCAGAGAAGGGATTTTCAGGATAGAGAGGAGAGCCTGAAGGACTCTTGCCTTCAATCCATGGCCTGGAGAGCAGGATCTGACAGGCTCTAAACTGGGCTTCCAGCCAGTAACACCCAGTCACCCTCAGAAGTGGTGACTGTGCATTTCCAAGTGGAGAGGTAGGAAGCTGGCCTTTTCTTTAAGAGAAAGCTGACGTTCTCCCGAGCTAGAACAGCTCTCAGAACTGCTGCCTTGGGAATGGCAAATCCAAGGCCAAGAACGTGGTCAGAAGAGCTGGCAGCAGTCTATGTGTCATCGGCTCCTCCTGAGGACCAGAGGGTTATTCTTCCAGTGGGAAATCATTTGGGTCTCGCTTCTCAAAGAAGGCGCACAGACTCATCCTGCTGAGTTCTTTCAGGATCTCTGGGGAGGAAAGGCAGCAGCAGAAGCAGCTAGAGCTGGACTCCAGCAGGTATTACCGACTGGCACTCAGACATGGCCATGGACAGGCTGGGAACAACTACTTGAAACTCAGTATAAGTCTGTGGAATGAAGTTTGTGAGTGCAAACCTCATTTGGCCAGCATGGCATTGAAAATCCAGTTAATTAAACTGGTGCAAAGGCCAGAGCAGACGTAGATAAACCAGGTTAAACTCTCACTTATGCTGATTTAACGTTAATTGTGTACAGCATCAGTGCTAGTTAAACTGATTAGGGAGTTAACAGGTTTAAATACATTTGCCGTAAGTACTGGTGCTGGTTTAACTGGACCGCTTTAAAATGAAAAGCAAACTGTACACCTCTGCCAATTTTTCCCTGTTGTATTTAAACCAGTACCACCTGTAGAGACATGTAAGGAACTGCTTTTAACCAGGAGCAAAGTGCACCAAGAACAGAGGACTTGGCCCAGCATCCCTGGTCTCTGGTGCCCTATTCTCAGCTTTCCTGAGAAACTGTCATCTTAACATCAACAACACTTAGGTCTAAATCTGTTTCCCAAAAATCCTGTCGACAAAAGGTGAGACCAAAATCACAGCCCGTTTTCCAAAATACACATAATGTCATCAATTTAGGGGGAAAGTGTTTGTTTCATCTCCCACTCTCCAATAATAATTTTGAATGGAAAAAGCATGGATTTTTCAGTGAAAACTTTCTAAATCTTTCTGTTTTGATACAGTCCCATGACTGCTTCCTGTGCTTCGTCTGTCTTTTGAGAGACACTTCATTACAAGCACTATCTGAAGAGAACAAAGCTTTTTTTTAACATTAGAAATATGGACATTAGTATTCATAATGAGTTCAAACACCAAGACCTTCATATTTCTGCTTTATATCAGGCCTTTACACACACATCATGAAATACAAACCCTCCCCAAATGTCTTAAATTACTCACTCACTTGAAACCAGAATATCAAATATTATTCTAATAAATACTGAAATATTCTCCACCTGAAGCCAGGAGAATATTTCCCCTTTGTCTACAGTATTTCTACAGCAATTCATTACTATGTCACCACCTAAGTTTGTCTTCAAACGAAAATTAAGCAGTGAGAGAATCAGAAATCCAAAGGAAAAAAAAAAGTCTTTAGTACATAATACCTGCTGAGACTTGTAGGGTTTTTAAAGCAGAGTGTTTAAGGATAAGGGCCAATTTTCTGAATTTTTGTCTTACCTTTCACATTTTGGATGTGCAAAAAGGATGCCTTCAGCTAGCAAGACAGTGTGGCAAGTATTTTAAATCTGTATTATACAGAGGTAATTGGTAGCATCAAGGGCCAACACTATGTATAGTTGAGATCGAAACTGCCCATACAAAAAAAAAAAAGTTCCTAAAACTTTTCTTGAGTGATCATTAAATGCTTTACTCATAATGTGTGCCACTTCAGATACCTACAGGGATTTAACACTTTCCCCCCCCCCCTTGCCTCTCAGCAGGCTGCCATTTGATGTGAACACGCAATGTAAGGCTGTCATTACCTCCATCTACCTGGAAAGGATAATTTGCCAGATAATTTTTTTTCTTTAAAGAGGCTTTTTTAAAAAGAGGGAAGTTAAAGGCCTGATACCACAGTCCAACATGCTCGACATGAATCCATTGGACCCATCACCTGCTGTGAGGGAAGGCCATTCATCAGCCATGAAGAAAGGATGTCCCTTCCCTTAATGTAAATCCATGGAGGAGTTTAAATGTTTACTTCAAATACACACGCATAAGAAGCAGAAAATGAGGCAGCTTGCCCATAATATGCCTCTGTGGTTTTGCCCATCTATTTGCATCCTTTCATCAGCTCTTACCCCACACTTCCTTAGTTCTCTGTTCATCCAGCACTCATTCCCATCAGCGCCAGTCTGTGAAGAGGCAGAGAAAACACATCACCTGTCACTTTGATATTCTCTGCTCACCCAACTAACACCAGGGCACCCAGTGTGGGAGCAGTGGTGAAATGCCCAATGACCCCAGATGCTCTTTGGCAAGGGCCCCTTTGACTGTGAAACCATAAAGCCAAGGCCTGGCATTAGCTTTGAAACCTGGGGGGAGCATCAGTGTCCCCAAAACACATAGGCATGGCCCATGGGCCAGGCATGCACAACGCATGGCCTCAGCAGTATAGCTTGAGCCACTACTGCTTGTTTGGGAGAGTTCCTTTTGTCAGTCCTTTGAGAAGCACCAATGCTACTTTCTGTATTAGGAGACTTGATAAAGAATAGCACAGCCTGGACCAAACTGTACACAGCTAAGTGACTCGAACACATGAGCACTCACGTGGCTTAGCCTTCCACACCCTGCCCAGTGATGTAGTGCATGAGAACAGGGTATTCAAACTGCTTCAGATGGCTTTAATTACTTGGCACAGCAGCTTCCATGGATATGGCTTAAAGTGAGCTGCCTCCTCTCCAAGGAGCTCGTCAGTGAGAATGCCAGACCTGGAGCTCATGCTGTCTGCTTTCCCAGCAGTTAATGCCATTACTGTGGCAAAATGAAATAAAAAGCACACTCTGAACAGATGTGGGAGAATGGAAGAAATACTCTCTAGTGATTTCCATGAAAAGCCATTGCCCAGCAGGTCTTAATGTGAAGTTATTTGCAACACAAAGGCCTTGCTCAGCAGGAAGTCAAGTCTAATTGGAAGGGTTTAGTCTAGAGTAACCAAAGTTACCTGATTTCATAACCTTCCCGTGCTCATCTGTGCTGTCCTGGCTACAGACCTCTGTTTGCCCATGGACCTCCAAGCAGTACAGAACAGCCACTGCTGCTTTGGTCCAAAACCATAAACCAGTATCAAAGAATCCAGTACTTGCCTCACACCCATGTCTTCATCTAGCTAATTAGCCCTGATCATTGCTAGAACCTCCAGAAGTCTTTTAAATTTCAATAAAGGCAAAGAGAAAGCTACATGTAGCTCACAGAGGTTCCCATATACACCAGCAGGAGTTCCTGTATCAGTTACACCTGATCCTTATCAGGGGAGAGCTATTTCTGAAGTAGATTATACTGTCTGGAGCTGATAAAGCCTACCTCACTTAATTTTCCCTGGCAGTGGCTGGATTTACTGGAACCAAGGAGGTATTGGTGGCTACAAGCACTGTAGGATCAGAGCTCAAGATGTGTGGAAAGCCTGAAGAAGGTGCTATCCAAGCCAAGAAACCTAAGTCCTGCTTCTTATAAAGAGCTAAATCCTGCCCCATTCATGTCAGATGATCACAAGACATCCCAATACCTGTCTATCCTTTCATGGAAAATCATCTTCCTCCCCACAAAGAAGGGTTTTTAACCAGCTGCCGCATTTCTCATCCACTGTAAGTGCAAAAGGCACTATGTCAAGCCACTGTGATGTCATCCTTGGTGTACCCTGCTGACATATCATCAAATATGTGATTGAGACTGATTCTCATAAGCCCCTCCAGAGCAATACACACAGGGTCAGTTAGCACCTCTGGGACAAGGGTTTCCTTGGGAAAGGACATTTCCATTTGAGGCATGAAAGTCCCTCAGGTCTCTGCTACCAGGGCTGTTCCAGTGCACCCCTTCAGTTTTCACCATTGTCTGCAAACCAACCTGCAAAGCTCCTGCACCCCTTGCCCACCCCCTCCTGCTGCAAGGCACCGGGTTTGACTCCTGCCAAACTGCTAAGCAAGAAGCACACAGTCACTGTCACTGCCTGGTGTGGGCATCAAAGAGGTCAGGGCTGCTGGATGTTGCTCTGTAAGACCAAGGAAAGGCCACTCATTGGTGATGCTAACTTGTCTCAGATGGAAAGTAAAAATACATAATTTATAATTTCTACATATTATTAGCAGAAGCAGCTCAAGGTGCAGTCACTGGCACTTCCCTGTATCCTAAGTGTTCATCAAGCTTTCCTTGATGTTAGCAAGTCTATTAATAAAGTGTTGCAAGCAATCAGAACTACTCTACCAGCCTGGAAGGGGGAGCGTTGGTGACATCGTGTTCCAGCTGAAAGTCATGTAAAATCCTCTATACCTTTTTCTGAAAGACATCATCGTCATCATCATCATCAAATATAAATGTGCAGTCACAGCACCTTGTAGTTAATGGGAAGTTACAGGCCATGTTAGAACTGCAGATCCTCTCCCACTGGTGGTGAGTGAACAGGATTCTTGCCCAGTAAAATTCAGCAGCACGTCCAAATGCAAAGAAAAAAGATGTAACCATACACTGACCTTCCCGTGCCTGCTCTGCCCCCTTGGTTTGTTATGTGGCTGAGCATGGGCTGAAGCCTCCATGGCCATTGTCTCTCTGGGTGATGGAGAGGGCTTTGCCCTGGATCTCAGCAGCAGGGTGATGCCTTTGCTGACTGCAGACACATCTGAAACCCCTCGTCAGCACTCTGGGGAGATGCTGTCTGAGCTCATTGCAGAGTGTTAGCACTGGAAAGATCCTGTAGGCCTCATTAGGAAATAGTTTTGTTCTTGAGTCTCTGTCTTATTTTTTTAAAGCACCCAGGAGTCAACAGAACGACCACATTTCCTCTTACACTCAGTTTTCTGATGGGGGGCCTGGAGTGCTCACTGCCAGATGTTGCCCTGATTTCATACAATCCATGTGACACAGGCATCAATGCCAGCAGCCCCATTTGCCTGTGATGTCAATGCACACAGCAGCCAGGAGAAAGTTCCAGGGGTGGCTAACAGGGGCATATGGGCAAGATCATATATTTTAGATTCAGTGTTTTGGTTCTAAATGTGTCTTGCTTAAACCACCAAACATCAAGCTGCTTCTGCTCAGCATCACACCACCCCCATGCTTATTCTTTGTCACCATTCTTGCACATGCATCATGCTATTGATGATATTTAGGTATATTATTTTAAGTGAAAAATTAAGAGTGGGAAAAACAAACAGTTACTTCTTTTATCCAAATTCAGCCTGGATTTCTATAAGATTCTCTAGAAAATTGAATTATTATTGTGAAGAAAGAAGTGTGTTAAAACTGTACCAGTGCATATATTTACAGTCTCTCCTACACTCAGTATGAAGAAATAATTCACCACAAATAATGACATTCTGTTCCCATTCCAGTGTTGCCCACTTTCTCAGATCTCCATGCAGGTGCAGAACAAATCAAAAAGAGACATCCAGACCAGAGAAGGGCAGGGAGAACTTGCTGCAAGGTCTGGGAGGGCACCCACAGCTTACCATGCTCCTGACCTGTTTGATTTTCCCTTCCTTTGCTATCTAAATAAAGCCAAAAGGAAAATCCACCTGAAAAACACTCAGTCCAGCAGCACTACAAGCTGCTGTCTGGTTTTAGACCCATCAGAGACTTGAGGGAACCTCAAAAGGACCTCCTGTTGTGATGTCAATGGATTGAAGATGCTAAGCAAGGAGCTGGTCCCAGGACCTCACTGAGTATGTTGCCTTGGTCAGAGAAAACTCTGGACCTGTTCTCCTCTGCTAGAAAGGGGATATTAAAAATGAGAAGGAAGCAGAGGGGAATTCCAGGGAACTGAGTCAGGAAGCAGAGAAAAAACTTTGTTTGTTACATGTCTGGCATGCACCTGACTGACATTTCACTCTTAAAAATGCTCCCAGTAGATAAATTCAGATAAAGGGATAGAGGTCTTATGATTCAAACACGTGTTGAATAAGAAACCACATAAATGAAAATATCAAGGATACACTGACTGATGAAGCAATGAGCTCTATTCTGTAAACATATTTTCAAAGGAAAATCATGTGCCTTGTGTAAAAAAAAAAGTTACTTTCTTTTGGCAAAGCTCTATGAAAGTTCAGTAAGCCACATCCAGTTACTTACAGTGGGATCTGAAACTTGCTTTAGGCTGCTTTATATCCTGAGGATTTATTTCTTTTAGCAGCACCGTCACATTCTGTCCATGAAGTGTCACCCTGTGACACAGCAGCACACCAACAGCACCAGGGCTTCCAGGCAGAATCCTGGGACTCTTGAACCATATACCACCAGGGAAGTTCTGAACTTGAGCTCCTATTCCTGCTGGCTCCCAGCTACAGTCGGAAAGTGAGGCGGGAAAGTCCTTCCAAACAGTTGCTCACTCATCGAAATTAGGTCACTAAGGGGGAAGAAATGTCCCTGCAGATTGTAACAGTGAGAAACTTCCTACGTGAATTATGTGGGACTGACAGCCTCTATGAATGCCACTCAAAGCACCCTCCCACCTCCAGGCTCCTGTGGAGAGGGCATAGGCAATGGGATTTTTCCATTCTCTTAACAAGGTTTTTCCTTTCACCCATGCCCAGCTTCTCTGGAACACTTCAGAGCGGGATTTATTGAAATACCTGTGGACTGAGTGCTAGAGAAGTCCAAAATCCATGGTGTGAGGGTGTGCCTGCAGCTGAGAGTTGCCACACTTGGCTGCCCAAGATCCCACTGGAGTGCATGGACCATTCTGCTCAATGGGCCCAGGATGTCAAGCAGCTCCTCTGCAAAGGCTTTTGCTACAGAGAAAACACAGGAAGCCACAGAAATAATCACCAGAATTATCTCCAAAGTGGCAAAACTAAGCATGGCAATGTGCTTGACAATTTTTCCAGTCCTCATGTAAATCTCTTTTGCTCAGTACTGTTTTGGTTTTCATTTCTCCCATCTAATACACAGACATCAGATTTGTGACATCAGACTGTACTACAAAGGTGTTGCTTGCCACACTCAGAGCTGCAAGTATGGGCACTTTCTAGCTGGAATTCAGATACCATGAGGTCTATAAACACTATATTTTGCACACATTGCTTCTACTCCTAACTTTCAAAGATCAGTCAACAGAGCCCAAGCAATGACAGGAAGGAAATTGGTTCAGAACAGAAGAAATCTTTCCAACTAAAATCACTGAGATGCCTTTGTCTTCAGCTCTGCAGAAATGCCAACACAACCTTGAGGACATTTATCTGGAATTTTGCACTAGGGTGCATTTATTCCTAGCATTGCCCACAGACTTGCAAACCAGAGGACTCTCAGCAACCACATACATCCCATCACACACATACAGCTGTTTGCTCATGTTGAGCATTAGTGCCTGCTATGAGTAATCCTACTGCAACCAGTGTGATTACTTCCTCAGAGAGGTACTGCTCAGCATGAGTAAGAACACTACAGCTTGAGTGAAGGTGTGCAATGACACCAAATGTCAGCATCTCTCCAAAATGCCTCTCCAAGGCTCTTGAAATCTGTTTGACATCACTGTATCAGCAGCTCACACTCTGGGTGTGGGGCCCCCTAGGATGCCCCAGTCATTCTCAGGACACGGTTTTATTCTTTTTCAAGAATTCCATTGTCCCACTGCCAGACACCACGCTCCTTGAGGGGTCTTCACAGGGTCTTAAAGGCAGTGGAAGACTTCCTGCAGCAAGGTACCATTACTCCCCAGTCCACATCCATAGCCATTTTAAGCCTCTTTTCCCTACAGGTATAGTCCCAAACATTCAGTCCAAAACAGAGGCACCAGAGCACATCAGCTGACTAAAATCAAAAGTGCTGTATCTCAACCATCTGTTAAAAAATGTGGGACCATTGACTCATTAGTTTCATCTAACTCTACCAGCACAATAAAAAACCACATGCCTTCTGGAGAACAATATCAACACGTGTGGGAGGATATCATCTCTGCAAGATGGGGTGGGATGCTGTAGTTAAGAACAACTCCCTGGGATTTGCACTGAACTCTGTCAGGTCAGAGCTGCAGTAGATTGGCACTTGCTATGGCTTTATTGGGTCTGGGCCATTCCCTTCCCTGGCAATGGACAATTTGTTTGGGTCCCCTCCTTTGACTGGGGATTTGGTGGTACAAAGCCAGGTGGGAGTTCGCCTACTTTTACCACTCTATTTTAGAGCACTTCTTAAGCAATTCACTTTTGAGCTGAAATTATGCAAAATTACCAAAAAGAAGATGTGAGCAGCAACCTCTCCCACCCCCTGTTGGGCTGTCCCAGTCTCATCTGGCAAGTCCCTGTTATCTGGGATTGCAGAAATTCTGGGGGATTATTTACAGGCTGACCACAGCGTCTTGCAACAACTTCTCCAGACAAGGAGGAGTGAAAGCTGCTGAAGATTAGTTTAACAGAGCATGCCTCAGTTCATGGGAGCTGCTGAAGAAAACATAAATAATGAGGGAAATCAGTCCTTGGCCGAGTTCAACATCTCAAAGTTAAAGTCTCCTGCTCATGAGCTCACCATGCTCTGCTGAGCAAGTGGAAGGGAAACATTTTCTCTCTACAGCGTGACTTCAAGAAAGGAAGTTGTGTGGGCAGAAGCACCAGGGTGACTCTAAATACAG